CAAAGAGGTCTAAATAAAGGTTAGTTCTACTCTGCAAAATAATAAGTTGCTGCTACTTTACTTTACAGTGGAATACAACTTTTTTTAACAAATATTTAACAATTAAAACACCAGACTTTTATAACCGCTCTTAGTACCTTTCAGAAGCAGCTGATAATAGTTTCGTCGCGACAGAGTACGCGCAATTAATGTATAAAAAATGAGCTTCCAAGTCTTACATCCTTTTTCGGTCCGTAACCCTCAATTCGAGCAAAACGACAGCAGTTTTTGATGTTTTATACTGCGAAAGAAGCGACACGAAATACGTCTTTTCTAAATATTTAAACATACAATTTTTAAAATGTTCCTTCAAATTCTTTTTTTCTTACCTGTTTAAATATTTGTTGCAATCAGATATACAATACGCTTCTAAGAGCTAAAGAACAATCAAATTTAATGAACTAGAGAACTAGAAATTTTTAAATTCTATCAAAGTTTTGCTGAATTACAAGTCCACAAAGACAGGTGTATCAAACAGCAACATGGGGAATTTTGCAATTTTGAAAGGGTGTTATTTTGCAGGAAATTTACTTTTCCGGGTCCTCTCTTCGGCCTTTTTTATTCTGCTATAAACTATACTAATCGGCAAAGTTTGAAAAAATTCTGAAAAATTGAGTGAGAAAAGTGTGCGAACTGGTGTGGAATGGCCAAATTCGGTTTCGGTTTACAAGAAGGTTTCTTCTTTTTTATTCTGTTTGTCTTTGTTTGCATATTTCCTTCAAAGCGCTGCTTATTTTTGGTTTTTAAGCATCTATCCTTCAAATTTCTATATTTGCAAGCTAATCGGTTTGCGCCAATCAATAATGGCTTTCGCTTCATTATAAATCATTTTTCTCACTGTTCTAATGAAATGAAGAGGAAGAATGACAAAGCTGAGGCCAGTAGAGTCACTGAAAGAACTGAGACTGCAAACGACGGCCTTTGGCATCAAAAGAGACAGAATTTGTTTAGGATTAATGGGTGGCGCACCAGCCCTTATATTGATTTTTGACTGCGAGGGCTTGAGCTCTATAAACAAGAGCTGACAAAGTGCTTTAGGGAAAATACATGATCTTCCAAGACAAAATACGTTTATCTGTATTTTTGAGGAAGCTGGTGTTTTGTGTGTTAATTCGGCATTTACTCACTTTTTTTCGTTTTTTCTTGACATGAAATTTAAGTGTATGTTGCTATAGTAATTTTGGATACATCTGTGCATTTAAAAGAAAGTAATTCATAAGCATTTATAGATGGGTCATCATTTAGTTTATTAAGAAAGGTGTCTACGAATTACCCATATGACCCACATCTTATTCATCTAAAATCATGCAATGCAGTTTGAGATTTAACTGCAGGCAGCAGCAGTAACTTTTGCTGGAGCTTCTAGTGGTTACTGTCGTTGGTTTGAAGGCTCGTACTTTAGTTTGAAAACTGCCAGAAATTGAAAACTGCAGATGTTATTTTTTTTTAAAACTTTGCCTTGACAAGCTTCCCGCAGACTTTTACTTTGAAGACCAAATTTAATCAAGACATTTTTAGCAGCAAGAACGGATCATTGTTTTTTATCTTTATTTTTATTTTTATTTGTATTTTTATTTCCATTTTTATTTTCATTTTCATTTTCATTTATTCTATCTTCATTTCCATTTTTATTTTCATTTATTATTTCTATCTCCACTTTCATTTTTATTTTTTTTCTTTGCATTTTTTATTTTTGTTTTTGTTTTTATTTCTATATTTGTTTTTATTTTTTTTCTTTCTTGTGCCTACCGATGTCGCTCTTAAATCAACAAACTACATCCTCTCTTAGTACCTTTGATAGCAATTGTAAACATCTCAAATAAGGAGTAAAATTGTTTTGACTTTGATTCTTTAATATAAGCATTAACTGAGCCTGGATTTTTTCGGGGTTGTTCTGTTGAGAGTGTCAATGAGCAGCAGTTTTTTATAAAGAATTTTGAAAAAAAGAAGAGGACATTTTAACAGAACAGATGAGAACGGAAAGAGGTATTGTCATTAATTGGAATGACTTCTGTAGGGAAAGAAAATAAGAATTAGAATGAACAGATATGGCGACCTACATACGGTTAACTGTTTTTAACTTACTGTTTGTTGAAAACTTTAATGGACTACAGAAGATAGTTTGAAACAAAGAAGTAAGCATATTTTGTATGGCTTCGACATGGTGATTTTTTGTCAAAGATATAGGCTCTTTAACAAGTTTTCCTTAACTAAGCGATACTACATTTGGAATGTCTCACTTGTGTGAAGATGTAGTTCATAGCATTTGTTTGTAGCATTCTGTTATCTGATATTTTAGAAGACTAGTTTTTTGTTTGTTTGGTTCCTCCTTAATGTAAGTCTTTAGCAAGACACATTTTTTTCAGATGTTTATGAGTTGAATACTCTGAGAAATATTTCTTAATGCTGAGTTGGTAGTTTTTGTCAATAGCAGATTCTACTCGTTCTGACTAATAACTTATTTTTCTTTTCTACAAATCTTTTAACTATTTAATTCGCATATTTTTTTTCTATCGGGATTAAAAAATCTTACTTTTCAATGCTTAAAAAAAGCCTGACTTTTAAACTAATTTAGCTGGAAACACAAAATGAAAGATTGCGAGCTCAGAATTTGAGATGTACCGCACAACTGGAAGTGTTAAAAAATTGCGCTGACCGAACGAAGCACTGGCGTAATTCTGCATTGTTCTCACAATCGGTTATTGTAAGTTTAAAACATTTATTTTGTTTGAATAGGCCTATTTAAGAAAATGGATGGCTGACAATTTACTTCTTCTCGATGGTAATCAGAATTTCCGGAAACAGACGTTATCGTCCTTAATTCAAGTTGAGATATAGTCTGGAGCTTTTTTTCGTTAATCCTCGCTCAGTCATTGTCTAGAGACGGAAACTGGGTCATTTAAAGTGTGTTTAGATGAGATAGGTTGTAAAAAATGAATGCAAAGCACTATCAGAAGTAGCAGCTTAATTTCAGTATTGTTTTCAGTGATGAATTTTAGCGAAAGTAGTTACCATAAAATTGTTTCTTCTGCCTCTTTCACACTATTCTCAGCTTCTTAGTTTTCAGTTTTCTCGAGTCTTTTACTCACAGTTGTAAAATTCTCTTTTAGTTTTTCGGTCGACAGTTTATCAGTTTACATTATTCGTATTTACTTTTGGTATTTAGGTTTTCTATCGTGACTGGAATTGAAATTAATTATTTTTAAATTTTCTCTTTTTTTCGGTAGAAAAGGATAGTAAAAGTTGTCAAAGATTATGAAGGTTAGCTGCATAAGATGTTTTTGTGCATGTGCATTTTTAAAAATGTTGAATAAACAGCTAAGAGGTCCCAGTTATCTGTTTAGTTTATGCAAAAGCACTGGGAACTTGAATTTATTCAAAAAAGAGTAAGGGAATGAAGCTTGGACTTGTAAACTGATGAAAATGGTGCATACAAAGCTCCCAGTTAAATTACGTTGTGAGATCAAATAGTTGTTTCCGAAACTCGTGCGTATTACAACTAATTCATCATTTCAAAGTAATTAAATGGTACTATTGGGCCAGCTGTTGCCAAGACGCGGACGTTGCGACATGAGCTTCTTTTTTTTTGGGCACAGTGAGGTTGTTTAGGTAAATTTCTTTAGCAAGAAATGTACACAAAATTTATATTTTGTAGTAGTATTTTTACAACTCGTTTTACTGGGACGTTAGGCAAAACTTATTTTGGGAGGTTAGTGATTTCCTCCACCTGTTCATTTCGTCCTTCCTGATAAACTTAAAATACTGCATAATGGAGTTTAGGTTTTGTTTTGAAATGTTAGGAAAATGACAATAAAAGATAAGTCTTTTTATTACTTCAGTAGGTTTTTTAAAGTTCAAAAAATCAAAAGAATGTAAGAATTTTGGGGTTTCATCATTGATATGGTCCACTGAAGTTACCCTATTTTTTCCTGTATTTAAATTACTTGATGTTAAATTTTTTTTGCAAAAATGAGTTCAGAAACGGCAATATTGTTTGACGAAGCCGAGTAAGGGACGTATGCATTCGTGACCGAAGCAGTTGACAACTCGTCTTTTGCTTTTTGAATACTCTAAAGGGATGATATTCTACTGATTATTTTGTGTTTTTTCTAGTTTATGATGTCTGAAAAATGAAGCGAGTCCTCTGCCTAGAAGCAAAAGGATAATTAAGAAGTTGTTCCTTCAAATAGTCATTGTTTAGTTTATCCTTTCTCGGCATTTATTCCTCCATATGCCTTTAATGTCACTTAATAAAAAATTTTAATTAGTTTTTTTTAAAGTGAAAAGAATTGTATCACTGTTTTATTTGGCCGTTCTATTTCTACGTTGAATGCAGCTCTAGCTTCAAAGGTACAGCTTCATACTTAAAAACTAGAAGTAGTGAGAAGCGTTGTCAAACGAGAGAAAAATCTAGCTTTTTCTTTACAAAAGTCACTCTACGACAGGTGAGTTTAGTTCGGTACACTGGGCAGTTCACGCACTTTTGACAATGTTCACACGTTTTTTTATGTAGGGAGCACAAAAAGATTCAGCAAACGCAATGATAGTTTAACAGACTCAAAAAATAAAGGTAGAAGTTTACTGTGACAAATTTACTGTCTCTTCAAGGAACTGGCATAAACAGTTTTTTCTAGCGGTGGCCGGAAGAATATTTTTGAACTGTACTCTACATTGTATATTTGCATGTATAACCTTCATATTGCACGTCAAATCGCTTTATTTCTTAGAAATTTGAAAAAAACAGTTTTTCATTGTTTTTCTAAATACTTATCATTTTCTTGCATATAGAGTAAATCTGTGAGTAGAATAGGATTATAGTGAGAGAGAAGTTGCTTTTGGAATATTAGTAATCATACTGGTATTAGTTTTAATTGCTTTCTTAATTTTCTTCTAATATCAACGTTTGTTGGTTATTTTCTTCACTGGAGAACCTTGAAATTTCGGTTTTTACGGATCGACTGTCCTTTTCTTTTCGAAAGTTTCTGGAACTGATCAAGATCATTACTTTTTGTCTCACGAAATTTCAGGCTCCAAAACTGCTTCTCTGCTTGTGGAATACAGTTTTTTATTTTGCGCTAATATTCGAGTTCTTTTTTTAATGAATGGCATTGACAATGCGAGCTTGAAAATGATCTTTTAAATTTTGGTATTGTAAATTAGCTGTCTTGGTTTTCTTGTTGATTAGTATTACTTCATAGTGTAACGAAAATTTTCTATTTAAGCTTTCAAAGCCACTGATTCCGAAAAATTTTGAAAAAGAAGTTAGTTATGTTAGGACTACCACACGAAACGACAAGCGTTAGTTTTGATTGTTCATTTTTCTTATTATTGTTAACAGGGAGAAAAAAGACCTCAGTCAGCTAATGGGTTGGATCTTGATAAGTAAAAGGAAATTTTTTTGCTGTTTTACTGGTGTAAATTAAGGTAGGGTCTTTAAAACACGGGTAAGTTGGAGAGAACCATCACATAATTTTCAATTAAAATAGAAGTTACTGGAGAATGACGAAACTAAAAACCAGTAATCTGTGTTGACAATACCTGTGTTATATATCCTTCAGTAGATTTAAACCCAAAAAAATTTTTTGGTTTTGAGTCAGAATTGAAACTATGTTCACTGATATGCAAAAAACTTCACAGAGTTTAATCCATTGTGCTATTGCGCAATCACACGGGAAGTTAACAGTCTAAAAGAGCATATCTGTAGTGGTCAACAGACTTTAAACAAAGCTGACCATGTTTTATAGGTAATTTTATTGCTTCCTAGAGTAGAAAAAAGAGCAGTAATTTTAAAGTACAGTAAGTAAAACCTTTTGTTCAGTTGAAGGTACAGTTTAATAGCAGTTTTTACTAGTTAGTCTGTTGCAGATGCTTTTAGAAGTCACAGTCGATTGTGACGCTTTTTTATTTTTAACGAATTGTCACCTGTTAGGAATTTTAAATTTGGCACCTGAGTAGCCTCTTTGCTTCTTATTTTAAAATTCAGTTTTAGAGTTATAGAAATTTCTTATTATCACTGTTTTTTAAGTCACCTTCGTCCTTATTCTTTCACTCACTTACCTTCCACTTTAATGGATTGCTTGTTGATTAATAATTTACCAGACTATTTCTATGCGTTCATTAATCATTATACAAATTAAAACTGTGTCGGTACTGTTTTAGATATCGTAGTACAGTTTCTTGGCAGCTCACTTTTCAGCAATTCCCTAGTAAATTGTTGATCCATTTGTTTTATAATCTTATACTAACCCTCTCCGTTTAAATTGTCTTATAAACTGCTTCCGATTCATTTGAGCAAGAAGTAAAGTTGTCATCCAATATGCGTTGATGATTCGGTTCCGACTGAAAATTTATTAAGTTGTGTTGTTTAGACAGAGTTTAAGAGGAAAAAGGTTTTTATATGTTGCTTCCTCGCCTGATGTCAGCGACGCATGAAGGTGGGAACATTTTAAGGGAACTTTACAGTCGATGATGTTGGATAGGACTTCAGATGACAGTGGTCTTACATCTGACGACACTTGGGAAAGAAAAACCGACTTGATGACTCAGTCGGCCTCGGTAGTTTACAAAGACGACTCGTTGAAACATCTGAAAAAACCAGGTTTTTTAAGTCAATTTTCCATTGAGACAAGCGTAGTATAGTAAAAAATAATCGAAAAATGTGCAGGACACAGTATTTTCTTTTGAATTTTTGATAACAAAACTTTTACGTTGTAATATATATGGTTTTATTTTACCTCAATGCATAGTGTTCACCGTTGCCCCAAATTCTGTAGAAAAAATTTTTTTTGTCAATCGGGGTTAAAGACGTTAGGTTTGGATGAATTCTTCTCGGAAAAGTCATCTTTACGGGGTTCCAAAAACGAGAAAAACGTTGGCCCAGGGACTATCTCTTACTCTCATTAATATTCGTTTTTGCTAGAACGGATTCAGGCTTACGTGAGCGTTTAACGCAGAGGGTCTTTTCGTATGCCCTGGTTATAAAAGAGAGAGTAACACTGATTGTTAGAGCTGCATTGGAACACGCTGTTTAGCATCCTTGCTTTTATGAACGTAGGTCTGTCAGTTGCACCGTCAGAAACAATGATCTCAAAAAACAAAGAAGTGAAAAAATTTTGTGTTGATAAGTTGTATTACTAGCACTGGGAACAGCTTTCTTCGTCACATTTAAAACGATTTAGTTTGTTGTTTTCGTGTGACCTGCTCGTTCATCCCCAGCCGAGGATAAATTTTTTATCAGCACACAGAGGAATAATTTGTACAATAAACGTGTCTTCCAGGAGGAATTCGGAAGACATATTTTTGCAGTTTACTTCTAAAGTTTAAGCTTTACGCTTGTTTTAAATCCTTAATAAATAGAAGTGGGATAAAAAGTGCAGAATTTACTTTTTAGGAAAAAGATATACAATTTTTGCACAAAAATCAGTCTGTTCAACCTGTGTCTTTCCATTATGATTTTGGAAACTATCTTTTATTGTTTTTCCAAAACATTTGTGCTAAATCTTCCTCATATTCGTTTCGTTGGTTTTGTTATCTGGATTAAATCACCTTGATTTGGACCACTTCAGTTCGATTACGGAGTTCTTCGCGGAGCCATCAAGGAGCTGAGGAGGAAACGTCGTCAACCACAGACTCATCGCCATGGGAAGAAAAGCTGAAGCCGGTGCCGACACCAAGAAAGACCAAGCAACTGGACGGTGCTCTTGAACCTGCCTTGGTATTTCCTGGTTTTTTTTTTTTTTAAGGGTCTCATCTCATTTATTCGTTTTGATGCCTGAACCTAATCCATCGTTCTAACTCTTTCAAACATTGAGAACTGTTCTACACTAAAGAGAGGAATTAGTTACCGAACATTTTGTAAAAACCGTGGATCTGCACTGCTTTTAATTTGAATGGAATCACTTTCTTTACGCATCTTGCTGCGTGAAAATAAAATTTAGTTAGACAAAGTTTTTGTGGAGAAAAGAAGGGAAATGAGTTAAAAGTCTTCTACGTGGTTTCATTCTTAAAAAAAAAAACCTTAAATCGAAGGATTTGGCTGAGAAGTAGAACTTGGTTTTTTAGATGGTATTAGTTGAGTACTGGTTTACTTTGTTTAATGTATGTTTTCCTTAAACTTATAAGAAAGAGTAGTCATTATACAACTGTTGCATATTTGTTGCTTTAATTGTCAAGCACCCACTATTATGTTAATGTCCTAATACTCTAAACCAACCTGCATGAGTATTTATTGAACAAATAATTGTTGTTTTGTAGAAAAAGTTTATTATGAAATTTTTATGGCTTATTTTAGAGGCACCAAAGTATTCGTGTTAGCTATTGAAGCCTTATTTAAGATTGCTGTTTAAGTCAACAAAAAAACCGCATCTGTCAGGCGTTTTTTTTTAGATTGAAAGGGACAGCTTGAATTCCTATGAAGACGATAACGATTATCGAGATGAAGATGACGAGATTTTTGACGAAATTGATTTTTCGCATTCGCCACGGTTTCTTTCTTGCTTCTAAGAGCAGATGTAGTGATAGTTTTTGTTAAATGCATTTTCAAATTTTTATGGAATAGCTCAGAAGGTCTTATAGACTTTACATCCACTAGGGAAAATGAGCATACTCCCTGTGAATTTAGTGATTTTTTGCAAAGTATTATTATTATTATTATTATTATTATTATTATTAT